CACGTGACACGAGTTGTGTGCGTCCGCCATCTAGTGTACACCTCCACGACAACGCCAAGCTTAAGCAATGGCGTCTCGAACGGGAAACAACCGGTAAGTAGTCCTATGATTTTTCGTTTATAGCACTGTGCATACGGATCGCCCGGAAAAATGTTATGCGTTTTCTGAATGTATGTTAAATATACATTCAGAAAACGCAAGATTTTATTAAAAGAATATACATTCAGAAACAACAAGATTATATTAAAAGAATGTATATAAAATATACATTCTTTTAATATAATCTTATTTAAAAAATTAATATTTCCTTAAACTGCATAATTGCCATTAAAATATATTAATGATTTTAATACAAGTAAAATTTTAAAAAAGAAGTGGTAATATTGCTCAATTTCTGCAATTTATATATTATAAATATCTAACGATTAATTAAATTAACAAATCATATTTTATAACAAACTGAATGTCTATGAAAGATTATAGCTACATGTGGAATTTACGTACATGTAAAAATGTACGTAAAATGGCAGCACTGTCGATTCGATTGGTGGCTAAACAAAGAACCGTTGAAAAATTTACTAGAATTAAGATTAACATAATTTACGATAATAATAATGAACTAATACGTTAATATAACATAAAATTAATAGTATACTATCAATTAGTAATTAACTAAACATAAAATTTAAATACATTAGAAAAAATTGCAATTAATTTACAGATCATTAATTAACGTAAACAAAACAACACGAATTTTTTTTAGAAAATAAAACAAAATATAAGCAGATAAATAATATACTAAACAAAAGTACACATACTTACATTTTAAAATTCTTTGTTTTCATATTTTTAATACAAAAATTTAATTTTATGCAAATGTTTTTACCGAACATATGTACATTTAGGCCAATGGCCTTGGATTTTCCTACGAGTATGGCTAAACGTGCCAGTGTCGGCATTCGTTGAGAAACAATGACTTAATCCCGAGTACGGAGTTAGATAGACAGAAGCTCCGACACCAAACATGGAAACTTCAAGTGCAAGAGGTTCCGACTAACTATATAAGTACTTGTCGATGCAAATCGAAAGTTACGTTATATTTTAATTCAAAAATTTTTTATCGATAGGTGTTAGATAGATGACCGGCGCCACTCCATTGCTAACAAAAAAGTATGATGTACGGGACAAGCCACTAGTAATTTGAGGTGGAGAGCATATAGTTTAAATTAAACAAATTAAAATTACGATTAAAAACTGCAGCCGGGCGTTGTGACCGCGTCACAGTAAATAATTGCTCGTTATTATTGTAATCGTACTGATGCCAAGCTTGCAATGGTAATTTTTGTTGATAGAAGAGTTTAAACATATTACTTTTATTAAATTTGTATTATTTGTTTAGCTTTAAAGTTATAGATTTTGCGCAAGGATATTTAAACAAATTAAACGAACATGTTTTAAATAAAATAAATGTAAAAAACCAAATTGAAAAAGACGATTAAGCGATAAAGCAAAAGGATGATGGAAAAAGACATATGGTAAATCGAAATTATATGATATATTACGTGCTAGATGATTTCTGCTTGCGTGCCACTTTGGGTACGCGTGTTATAGGTTCGCCCTCCTGCTCTAAACCATTGATATATATAAGCCCCAGTCTTTCAAGTGATAAAATACTGGAAGTCGTTATAGAAAGATTTCCAAAAAATAACTAACAGGAAGAAATTCAACTTAAACATAAGAAAAAACCTCTCAGCCAGATCTTTAAAGTAAAAACGTTTTAACTGAAAAAATCAACAATTCTGCATATCAAAGACTTTTTTTTGCTTACTCAAAATTTAAAAAACGAAAAAATTTAACGATAATCGACATACACCAAAAAAGAAGAAAAACGTAGGAAAAGGGGTAAGTAAATTTTCCAAAAACATTTTCACTACAACGAATTTTGACTACAGCAAGCTTTTCTGCGTAAGTGCGGTAAAAATTTTTTCTTAGTTATTGTTGCATTTGTAATTTTTTTTAATTGTTTTTTTGTTTGCTGATTTTTAGATGCTTTTTATTCCTCTGTTGTTTATGTTTCTGTATATTTGTGACACCCGTAAAAAGCCAAATGGCCACAGTGTCTTTTGAGATTAAAGATATATACAGTAGATCCCCCTATAAAAGCGTTTCCTATAGTTATGATTCCTATAAAAATTGTGGCATTATCCGTAAACAACGGTAAAAATAACTCCTATAATACGTAAAACGTCATCGGGCAGCCGAANATGCTTCTTTAACTGACCGCGATGCACCGGGACATCCAAATCAGCTTTATATATTTAACAAAACATTTCGCGTTTTCGCGAAGATGAGATTTTGTTTTATTTTTTTTCAGCTTTTGTTTAATGTTGCAGATGTCACGCTAAATCGTGAGATTTTATAATTTTTAATGAAATCTTACAATCTCCCGATTTTTTGAACAAAAAAAACAAAAATTTGATATCTCATAACATATTTCGTTTCTACTTACAATACTCGCCATCATTCATTTTTTTAACGAGCAACGAGAAGGATACAGTATATGCTTAAAAGCAGTTCTGTCTCCGGAGTACACTTCAAATAAAGTGCCGACAATCAACAATGTTCATTCGAGCTCGATTCTGAATAAAATACAGTAGATCCCCTTATAAGACTGGTTCTTATAATTACGATTGTAGTAAGACTGCGAAGAAATTGTGGCGGTATCCGTAAACAACAGTAAAATAACTCCTATAATTACGTAAAACGTCATCGGGCAGCCGAACTACTTTCCGCCATCCAGCGCCACACTACAGAAAGTTTAGGCAGATAAATTGAGTTTAGTATCGTCTGTACATATAATTATATATAAATAATATATAAATTAGATACTGTATGTATAATTATATATTAACTTAATTTATTGTAACTTTATTATAATTATATATATACTTTCCGCCGTCTAGCGCCACGCTACGAAGAGTTTAGGCAAACTATTGTCTGTACAGTATGTAAATTCGGTACCGTAAGTCTAATACAGTACTGTAATTTTATACATTTCTTATTCAACGGCCATAAATATTGTTTATATTAATGATGTCTTCAAAGTTCAATGAAGTTTTCGCAGAAAAATAACAATCAGAAATCGCTGCCGCCGTTTGCTGCGCTGTTTCGCGACAAAATTAAGCTTGATCAACGGAGTAGTCGAACGGGGCACACTCGGTAAGTAATCCTACAATTTTTTGTTTATACGGATTATTTGCAAAAGAATATACGTATTTTGGAAATGTTGAGACGAATCAGTCTAGAATCGATTAATTCCATGGAAGAAAATTTTTCAAACAGCCGTAGTCCGTAAACTTGACACGTGTCGGGCTGTGATTGGCAATAATTCCTACAATATTGATTCATAAAAAACGGAACGTATCTACCGTCTTATAGGAAGATCGACTGTATTTGTGCTTAATGTGTACATTTTACATTGCGTTTTCAAAAGAATTTTACTTTTTATTTTACACATTTTCTTTCAATTGAAATGTTTTTGATCAGAGAATTTTATGTAAATTTGTATTTGACAAAAAGTTCATTTGTTTAGCCATGAAATTAAGGAAATTCACACGCGTATTGGCGCAATCGGGAAAGGACAAGAGACGAACGCTTTCCCTAAAAAAATTTCAAAAATGATAAAGAAATGGTAAAGAAATCAACGACTGCGTTCGGCAGACTCAACAGTTGCGGAGCTGTTGAGTACTTTTATGCCGAATGCCCTGTCTTCTACAGTAGCGTTTTTTTCATGTTTTGACGTCTTTCATTTACGCGATCTATCGCAATCTTAAACTGACTAATGAGGCTGTTTGTTCCAACGAATACTTCAGTCATCGTTTTGCAGATCCAGGTTTTTACGTAATAGCTACCGGTTTGCTCAGTTACAACTGTTGAGTCCTCCGAAGCAGCCAATATAATTGCCAAAAATAAAAAATTGAAAATAGTATTATAAAAATACTCAACAACGAGTTAGATAACTTTCTTGGCAAACAAATTTAAAATTGAATATAGTACAATATCTTACGATATTTTATTTAAAAATTTTTTTTAAAAAAACTACTAGCATCGATGCCTTTTATACGCCAGCTTTAGTGATAAATTTGGTTTATTAATCTTTACCTCAGGCCGAAATATTAAACGAAATAGATTCCAACACAAACACACATCTACTGAATTATTTACGATTTTTAAAAATTTTTTTTTGAGATCAGAATGTCTCAAAACGTGGAGAGATTTACAGAAAAAACACGACAGTTTAAATTTGACACGATACTAATGCTTTTTCGTGTTACGTACATCATAAGCAAAGAAAATAAAAAATAAACGATTTTATTATAAATTTTATAGTACTAAATCGGCAAAAATTTTTATCATTCGTTTGTAGTTTACAGATACACCACCGGGGGGCAGCTCGTTGTTTTCTAGGATTTTTTCGGCTTCTCGTCCGGCAACACTGCTGCTCGTTTAAACGACGTTCTCGTAATCGCTACTATTGTTTATTTCTAAGCATTTCAAAGTGTTCGAAAGGAAAGAAAAGGTTAGTAAATTCGTGAGTTGTTTTATGTACGTAATAAATAATAAGCACAGTTTCACAAAAAAGTAAAATTGATCAATTTCTTTTGTTATTGACCCAAGTGACGTCCAAGTATTCATTCGGGTTTAATTCCAGATACGTATACCGTCATGGCGGCTCATCTCTGATTCCAGCAAACAAAAGAAAACAGTGGGGACGCACGTTCTAACCTAACCTAACTAATTCTAATAATTTGGTTGGTGATAATTATGTTAATTTATTAGAATTGGTTAGGTTAGGTTAGAACGTGCGTCCTTACTGTTTCTTTTGTTTGCTGGAATCAAAGATGAGCGGCCATGACTGTATACGTATCTGGAAGTTAACCTTCATTTGTATTTTATCAACTCTAAGTGAAGTCGTCCTTATAAACTAAGAGATATTATCACTTTTATCCTTCCAATCTTTGTTTTACAAATATCCTATGATTTATTTATGTGCACTTATTATATAATATTTGACAAATTGTTATATGTATATTGATGTGTGACCGGGAGTGTATGAAAACATTAATGTATAAGGATTTAATAATAGGTATAAGCTTATATACAGTAGACTTCACTTACGAAGAATGAGCGGTAAAAGTGCATCTAGATAGTCCCGGTACTTCCGATACTATAACATTCGTGTATTTAGCCAACGTGACTGCACAGGCTTCGAGTGGTCCTATTGGCTGTTCTTGGCGTACTCGATGTTATGTAGTTTTGCGGGGTGTGGGAGCTCGCCCCCGCTTGGGCACACGTCTGTGCTTCGCGTGTAGACTAGGTGGTAGACTGATATGTGTTAAAAACCGACTTTTGCACTTAAGTACAATTTTACCAAATGGGATAAAGCATTCCTTGAAACTTTGAAACCGGTTCGGTTTCGAACCGACTCGGTGTCGACTTTCGGGCAGGAAGTCGGAAGGCGGAAGTCTTGTCGTCGGTCGCCCGTATCTGTTAAAAAGTCGTACTGTTAAAAAGTCTGTTAAAAAGTCGTACTGTTAAAAATATCTGTTAAAAAGTCGTACTGTTTAACTTTTTTCTCTTTCTCGATTGCTCCTTTTGTTTCCTTTTAAACATGTTTTCGACTTTTTTTGATCTGTCGATTTCTTTGGAAATGGTGCAAATTGAATTTCCTGCTCCGTGAAGTTTTCGAATGTTCCTAACTTTACTGGATTCGGTTTTATATAGCGCCTGTTGCCGTGACGTGTCGGTGATCTGCCGAGGGAGAATGCATTCGTCCACACATCACAACCCATTCCAGGAGGTCTTATATGGGAAACTGGCTTTTATTTAGGCATTACCGACATGAAGAAAACCCGAAAAACTTTGCTCGGCCTGCCCGTTGGCGAGGTACGAACTTGTTGTCGGCTGCCGGCATTTGGCGGTTTTATTCGCTTGGATGCCGGTGGGTCCAAACTTTAATTTCTGAGAACCATTTATTGTGGGATATTTTGCTTGCAGTAAACTGTTTTAGTCGTGTGACTGTATCTTTAGTTAGTCATGTGATTGTATCTCCAATGTATAAGGACGGCAAGCGATGGTATGATTTTTCTTGACTGGACATATTTTCTGGATGCAAAAATTGTATCTGTAAATATTGTGAGATTAAAGTTAAATGTCACTTTTTCAGAACTCTCGCATTCAATTAGTTTAAGTGCATTTTAGCTATAATTAGAGCTAACACAAAATTGGTGGGGTCTTTATAGTCGACTGTAGTGTACGAACACTTTGTCTTATCCACTTTGAATTACTTTGTTTTAATGCTTTACACATGATGCTCACCGAATTTGATGCATTGAATCAATTCCAATTTTTGTTTGGAGATAGAGAACTAGCCTGAATTTTTATTTTTGTCTTTTTGGATATGTGTTCTCTGTATAAAATGTAAAAAAAAAAAAATGTTTGCAAATCAGTAAAAATAGTTGCTAGTTTTTTTTCATCAGAGCATTGTACAATTTAAATTTATTAGCAATTGCAATTCTATGCTGCTAAGATATTGCATTTATACTTCTGTTTTTGTCTTTCATTTTGTTTTGTTTAATGTTTAACTTTTTGCTATTCATTTTGAAATGTTTGTTAATGTGAATCTTTCTAAAAAGAAACTTAAAACACGACCTTACTGTATGTACGAAATAAAACATATAAATTACTATAACATCACTAATGGATATAAAAGCAGATTGTAAAGCTAATAAAATGTACCTTTTTATTATTATAATTATAATTCATTAAACAAACACAATTCAAAGAACTATTTAACTAAATTCTAATACTGATTTTGAATTTTTACAGCAAGATGAATGCAAAGAAGAGATTAATATCAGACATGGAGGGACCCAAAAAAAGTAGAGATGATTGGAGAAAAACTAAACGATTAGAGGAAGCAAGAAAAGCAGGTACTGCTCCAGCTGCTGTCGATGAAGAAGGAAGGTATGTTTGGAGAAATTTATATTTTTTTTCTAAGAGTTATAAAAAAATTGATTGATTTAACCGGTGAGTTATTTAATAATCAAAGGTTAAAAAAGGTAGTTATATTATTCACAATGAATGATCATTAAATGAGTAAAACACTTAAAGGAATAATTTCATTTGTACAATTACAGTAAGATCCCACTTGACGCTGATTCGATATGACGTGGTCTGCTCGAAGCCTTAAAAAAGCTCAAAATTTATACCGATTTAAATTATTGTGGCATTTTATTAATTCATTTATAATATGATTATTTGCAAACACAAACCAATCAGCAAAAGGTGGCAAAAAGGTGTACTTTCTTTAAATCTGTGTTTCGTACAATTTTGTAAAAAATATAACATCATAAATGCCATAGGAAATAGCAACTTAGCTTGGCAAGAATTAACTGATAAATGCAGAAACGAAGTGTGGAAGAAGTAATGGCTGAAGGTATTCAAGAATTTTCAATGAGAAAAGTCTATCGCTGTATCGTTAGGTTGACCAAATTGTCAACCTAATTGATACAGCAGGACTAGGAAATGTAGATGAGCAGGATATTGAGGAGTTACCGCAGGTTTCCAGTGAGAGTCTTACCAGTGACAACTTTCAAAAACTAGCAGAACAAGGAATTCATGTAGAATTGGAAAATTGAGAATCTGAAAACGAAGAAACCAAAAAATTTCTGTACAGATTGCCTTAGTAAAAAAGTTTGGTAACCGATAACCGACATTGTTGATCAAATTGATTTCAAACGATTCAGATTTTGAAAGAAGTACAAAAGTAAAACAATGCGTTTTGGATGTGATTTTTCACTACCAACATATGCTTAAGAAAAGAAAAAAACGACAATTGAAACTTCACGACTTTATTGCAAAAGAACAAGAATTGCTGAAAAGTCACAAAAAATGAACTTTACATTCTGTGTGCACATGTTTGTGTGTTATTTAACATACATTACAGTAGACTCTCGAAAACTCGGCACTCGATAACCCGGCACTCCGGATAACTCGGCCATGGCAGGGAAAATACTTGTAGATAACTAATTTTTATCATAGACAGCTTTAAGTTTCATAAAGTATTTTTCTGAGGTCTGTCTTATCAGGTGAATTACTGTACACAGCATATTTATTAATTTTTATTTTCATGTAGTAAAAACTCTATACCTTCATAAAAAACGTACTATTCTGTTTTTAAGAGTATTTGGGCAGTTTATTCCATGTTGTATTCACAAGTAAACAATACATACAAGTACAGTACAGTATTTTCTGAAAAAAACACTCATACTTATTTTTTTAACCCCGTTCCCGATAACTCGGCATTTTCACAAACTCGGCTACTCTTCGGTCCACATTAGGCCGAGTTTTTGAGGCTCTACTGTATTATGAAAATTGATGTGAAAATAACTTAAAATTATAGTAAAATTTGTTTATTTTTGTAGGAGTGTTCCCCTTTTTCTATTTACTCTGTTAAAATGACCTTGTTTAATGTTGTTTTGTTTAGCGCTTTGTCATCTAGGAACGCATCCACTGTGTTAAACGGGGTCTTACTCTATTTACATATTATATCTATTGTTAAAGTTTTAATATTTTTTAAAATATTCACAATTTTCTTAAACTTTTTGTCACAAAAAGTAGCTAATTAAACAGGATTTTACTATATGAATAACTAATAAATAATAGATAAGCTATATAAACAATCAATCCACTGACTCAATTTTTAAGTAATGCCAAATGATCTGTTTTGTTATCAGTTACAATAAGACTGATTTAATAATTAGTTATAAAGCAGTTTGGATATATGCAGTTAAGCTGCTATTTCATGATAATTTTAAAAATTATGATAAATTAATTTTTAATTTAGAATTTCTGGAAGAAAAGAGTTTACCCATCTGTGCAAGTGTTGTGGATTCGCGTACAGATGTGTTTCAGTTATGCTACCCAGACCTCTGACTGACCATTGCTTCCAGAGCTATTAAATTCTAAATCAAAAATTAATTTATTGTAAATATTAAAATTATTACAAGATAGTGTCTTAACCACCTACGTCTAAACAAATTACTTTATAATTGATTACAGAATTAGCCTTATTGTAGTCCAATAATATAGCAGATTATTTGACATTAATAAATAAAAGATTTTGACAATAACAGAAGAGCCCAGGTACATTTTTGGTAATGGGCTATCCCAGATATGTTGGCATTGTCCATTGTGGGTGGAACTTGCAGTGTGCTTGGAAAAAAAAGCCTTTTTGGTGCTCTTAGTGCAGAAAGTTTTAAAAATTACATCATAACAGATGCTCTGTTCTTGATATTAAGTGAATAAATTTATTACTAAATTCATTCATTCACTATCAAACTTGTATGTGTGTTGCTATTAGGATTCAATTTCAAAAAGTTTGTCACGATGAATTATAATTTTCTTAGTTTAAAAAAATGAACTACTTCAAAAATATATTTTGTGCTCTTGTCTGATTGTCAAAGGTTATTTATGTAACTTATTTTTCATTAATTCCAAATTAACTCCAAGGACATTATTTTAATATTTTGTTTGATCAAAATTGAAGTAAAAACCATTGAAACAGATACATTTTTCTATTTACTTTCATATTCTAGAATACATTTTATGACGACCCAATCTTTTTCTTTAAATTAATTAATTGTCATGGGATGTGTTCTAGAACATGAGAGTGAATAGAAAGGTGACTATTTAAATGGGCTTTGTCTTAAATTTTAATTAATTAATATAAAAATTACTATGTTGTGATTATTATTACTATTATTTTTTTAAATTAGTACTTTGATTACAAAATTTAAAATTACAATATCCAATAAAAATTAAATATTGTGTAGTAACATCTGAATAGCATTAGCTGTGTCAATGAAAGTATTATAGGAAATAATAAATAATCAAGAAAAAAAAAGGTAACTGGCTTTTAAGGATGAAATTCGAACTAAGAAAAAATGAATTTTACAGATATTTACATACTGAATTATGGAATATTTTTAATATATATTACCACTAATTCCATAAGAGTATTGCTTATGATAAATATCTTTTTGAATATCTATTTGTTTATATAATTCATATATATTATTTTTCTTTCTGAAATTGTAGTTTCAAAAGATAATACAGTCACTCTCAATAACTTGATCTACCCTAAGTTAAATTTTAGTATTGTCTCAACTTAACTTCCATAGACTCAATGCATTCTGCATTCTACTCATACAAGTCAAAGTAGTTTCGAGATCATGCGTTGCTAGCTTAAAATTTAAATCCAGCAACTTTATTTCATGTCTAATTTTATGTGCTTTTTTTTGCATTTTCAAAGATAGATATCATCATGAAATTGATTGATATTCTATAGAATTATGCTTCTAATTGAATAGCATAAAGGAAAAATTTTAATGGCATTTTGTGCTTAAAATAATTTTTTTCTTAAATGCAAATTGACCAATCAAGTCTTTGAATTTTAAAATAATTATTTTTTAAAATTTGAAAATTTGACAATGTAACAAATACACTTATAATTTGATGACTACATTGTTGACCAATCACATTTGAATTTGTCTATGTTTATCTTATTATTTGGAACTAAACATGTATGTTGTATAAATTTTGCTGTAATATTTGAATTGCACGTTGACATTTTCATTGCTGATAGTGAGCAGTTATAATCAGTATGTTGACTGTTTTCATTTCGAAATAGGTAGAAATGGCACACAAGAGAAAACTAAAATTTTTGCAATAGCAGAAAATGTATTCTTCAAAAAGAAAACTTGCAGAGAAAGCAAAAAAAACTGAAATTGTGAAAGACTGGCATTCCATTAAGTACTTGCTGTACCTAGCTGAAAAACATGGAGAGAATCGAATAGAAAAGAATGCATAAATCTGTGCAGCTAGATATCAAGATGTGCAAATGTGCATGCCGAACTGATTTGTATAGTATACAGACAGGAATATTCTTGTTGATGGAAATCTCTTTAGAGAAAAAGCCAAACAATTTGCACAGCAGTTAGGTCGTACAAGATTCAACATATACTTGAGAAGATGCACAGAATAAAATCTTTGATTAAAATGTCGAAGTGTGAGAGAAGGACTATGCAAAATGGTTTTGCCAGAGACTCTACAGAACAATAGGCAGTTTTTAACACAGATGAATGGGCTTATTTTTTTAAATGTCTATCAGACAAAACTGATGTCCAAAGATGATTGATTCATTTCATTGGTGTAGAAAACAGCAAAGGATATGTAGCTCTTGTTAAAATAATCTGTTTTCAATAATTTTTTGTGAATAAATTCCAAACAGTGTAAAACTATTCAGAGAAAACATATTTCTTGTTAAATATACCTTTTGAATGATCCATTACATTGTTATAAAAATTAAGCATTTTTTAATGAGGTGCAAATGCACAGTCTTGTGATCTAGATTTAGAAAATCAGACTAGAAAGGGCTAATATATGTCAATTATATTTTTACAGTTCAAATTGATCGAGGCTTGTTTAATTCAAGTGAATTGTGAAAGAGTCTCTGAAAATAGAAAAAGGAATACAATACAATACAGTTTCAATACAGTTTGCTTTACAAATGTTGGCTGGACAATGCATACTATTTGAAAAAGCACTCTAGATGTTTTAAAAAGATTTTACTTTTTAAATTTATATTAATTATGATATTAAAAGAAACAAAAATATTGTTATTAAATCAATCACTTAAAACCAAACATTCTGTATTATCAGAATGTTTGATAATTCAAGTTGACTTTGATCTACATTTACTTTGATAATCAGGATTCTACTGTAGTATTAATTTTTAATAACTACAAAAGTTGTTAAATTTTTTTTTCTAAACTTTAAAATTTTAAAACAAAGTTTCATGATGGGAATTTTATTATTTCAGAGACATCAATCCTCACATCCCACAATATATAGCAACTGCTCCTTGGTACTTTGGTTCTTCTTGTCCCACTCTGAAACATCAGCGACTTCAGCCAGAAAGACAGGAAAGTTATACCAAGATCAAAGAACATTTTGTTAGAAGACTAAAGGTTTGTCTAATATAGATATAGAAACTATTTGTATTTATTTACGATTTATCTTTTGCTTCTATTTGGTTTCTTTAATCTTAATATGTAACTGGTTTAAACACTGTAATTTTCTAGGAATTATCACGTTTAAGGACTTCATAATTACTACCCAATCAACAGCTTTACCTAATCTAACAACTAACTTCAATATTGTTTTGTTAATTGTCTTCGCATCATGTTTTTGCATGATGTTCTTGATATATTTTGGTATGTTGACATAGATAATGTAATTTCCTCTCTCATACATACTTTAAAGTACCATATGTCTGTCGTTAATTAATTTAGTTGCAGTTGTTTTATATGGACTCTGTGGCGATATAGGCATAGTTATACTTACAATTTAGCTATGAATTATCTTTTGCGTCTGTTCTGTTTCTTGGGTAAAATAAAGTCGTTCACTGGCTAATAATTACGAAGTCTGTGGATATGATAATTCCTAGAAAATAACAGTGTTTGAAATGTTACATATTGACATATTTGTATTTGTTTTTGTAAAATTCAGTTTATATTCTGGATATTATGATTTTTTTAATTAAAAAGAATTTAATTATTATAAATGTTTAAAGTAAGCTATTAAAAGAAAGAATCAGAAACAATCTTAATAATATGGTCAGACTTCTACATAATGTAGTTTGATATTACAAATTTCTCTTTAAATCTGTGAAATGTTTAATTTACAATATTTTTTGCATTGAAAATGCCACTATTTAATGAAGTTTAATTTCTGGTGAGTGGCTGAAAATACAAGTAGAGCAAATTCAAATTTCTCCATTGAGAAAACTGTGTACTTTTGTACAAAGTAGATTATAAGATTCTGCGACACACATCTGCCATGATACAAATGGATAATAGAGTTTCTTAGGCTTTTACCTTAGGCTGAGGAACTTGTTCCATTTGCATAATGGCAAGTGTTTGTCCACAGAATCTTATAATCTGTTCTGTAGCACAATGTGAAAATTTGGACTTGGTCTACTTGTATTTCAGCTACTCATATAATAAATTTTGTAACTGGATAAATGAAAAAAAAACTTATTTCTTACATTGCTAAATATTGAAATTGCTTAAGATATTGATTCATTTCTGCAATTGACACCTTTAGGGTTTTTCTTATGGTATAGAGCAATAACTTTACTATGCTGTATTAAAAATTGATGAATGATTGAGATATTCTACTTGAAGATAGTTTCAAATAATAATCTTTTTAATATATTCACAATTGTAAGAAATGGCTTGTGTCAACAAGAAAACATTGTTGACAATAATAAAGTTAGAATTAGTCATTGAAAGTATAAAACAGTTTAAGTAATACAAAAAGTGAGTGTGTTTTAGCATTAAATCTTGTTAATAGAGATAAAAGTTTATTATGCATTGTTTATATTTTTAGAAAATATAATATTACTCTGTCCATTAAATCACAATTATTCTTTAAAATAATAATTAAGGACATTAAAGTTTATTAAAATCACAAACATAGACTATTCAAAATGATATCTTCACTTGTCTATATAGAAATTCCAAGCATGATATTTTATAAAATGCAGTGGTGCCTCATATAACGTATGCCTCGAATAACGGACGCTGCAAACTATGGACTTTGTTTGGTCGTTACGTGACTCAAGCAATGGCTGGCTGCCAACAACGGACTTTCTGCAAACAAGTGCGGATGATGTTTTCACTCTTTTGCCGTTGCCGATGACAATCTGCTATTTTTATAATATACTAGCTTAACCGTCGCGCATTGCTGCGATCTCAGAAAAAACGAAATTCAAGTAAACTCGTTATGATAAAATTAAATTTACATTTTATCATTTTTATTGAAACTTATTATTATATTATTATAATTATTATTCATTTTAATTGGGAAATATTTCAAAGTTTCGTTTCAATTCTATTTATTTATTTGAGTGCTTGTGGATACACGATATTTTTTGCATTTCCGTCTGATTCGTACACGAATAAATCAGAAGGTTTTCACATGCGTGAACAGGCCACATACAGTTGTACTGTACTATACATGTGAGAAGCACGGATTCTTTAAATTAAACCCACATACTTACAGAGATTGTTGGAAGTGCGATATTCTTCATCTTTATATATACTTTATAATTTTAAGTATTTAATTGCTTTATCCTTTTTTCCTTGGCGTGTTGTGAAATTTCTGATAGTTGGATAATAAACCGTTTTATTGTAATTCGTCTTTTTAAATTATTTAGAATCGATATTAAAATTTGGGAAAGAAGGATCCTAAATCGGTAATATAGGCGAATTTCCTCCTACAACTTCGGTCGTTGTTCGGAATACGGTTAAGGTTTAAACAAAGTTCGAGCGAATACATAATTAGCAAAAAAAAGTTGAAATAAAGTGATTAAACAAAAATTATTACAAATATCGTAAATAACAGTTCACAAATCATATATAGAAATATTTTTTAAAAAGGGAAAAATGGTCTTTACAATTTGAAATCGATCTAACACAGTGCTCGAATGCTCGTGTAAACGCGCGCCATCCATCGTAGGATAAATGTACTTCGCAGTAGTGTATTAAAAAACTTTTCAAAAGTTTTATGGCAATCGTACTATTCCACAAACCTTCGCCGAAGTATATTAAACAAGTTCTTAAAGTTTCACGGCAATCGGGTTACTGGTGTGGAAATGCATAAAGGACACACACACACACACACACACACACACATACATTCATTTTTATATATATAGATTAGTATTTTTAAAATATATTATTAGAATATCTGAAGTACAGAGCTCCCGTTGGGATTTGGCTTGCTCACTTGTTTATTACGTACATCACCTTAGTGCAGGGTATTTACATTTATTCAAGTGCTGTGCAAATCATGGCTTTTAAAAAAACAGAAAGGTGATTTCAATTGAAACAAAGCAAGAAATTATAAAAAAGAGTAAAAGTTGACAAAACTTTCTTGTCAAATAGGGCGAGGTTCAGGAGTTTACCAACACTTATTATCCAAACAGAGCTGAGGCCAACAGGATTAACGATCTGTACAATGACACCCTTGCTTGTGATTTCCAACAGGTGTTGAAGAAGAGAGAAAAACAGACCACTTTGGATATGTTTTTCAAGAAATCAGCTGCCAAAAAAACAAAGGATGAAACAAGAGGAGTTGACCCTGCGAGCCCCAGTAGCCTCTCCTTAATCTGACTGCGATTAAAAAACTATAAAAAGAGACCTGCTGCAATGTGTAAAAAGTCTGTATCTGTATGAATGTGTGAAGAAAGTCTTCCTCCACCTCCTCCCACAACTTCTGACTACCCGGCACAATTGGTGACTGCTGCATTTTCATTTTTGCTTTGATGGTACAGAACGGGTATTTTATGCTGCGGAACAAATTATATGTTTTAACATGTATTTCTGTGGGAAAATGCGTTATGTATAATGGACTTTTTACTTAACGAACGTGCACCTGAAATAAATTAAGTACAGTAGATTCCCCTATATGACGGTAGATACGTTCTGTTCTTTATGAATCAATTTTGTAGGAGTCACAGTTTATGGACTACGGCTGTTTGTAAGGTTTTCTTTCATAAAATTAATCGATTCTAGACAAATTCGACTCAACATTTCCTAAATACGTATATATTTTTTTGAAAATAATCCGTATAAACTACATTATAAACAAAAAATTGTAGGATTACTTACCGAGTGTGTACCGTTCGACTACGCCCGTTGCTAAAGCTTAATTTCGTCGCGGAACAGCGCATCAAACAGAGGCCGCGATTTTTGATATTATTTTTCTGCGAAAACTTCGTTGACCTTTGGAGACATCATTAATATAAATAATTTTTATGGCCGTTAAATAAGAAATGTTTCTTTCACAAGAAATGTATAAAATTACAGTACTAAACAGACGATAGGTCGCCTAACTCGCCGTAGCGTGACGCTAGACGGCGAAAAATATATATTTAATTATAATAAAGTTACAATAAATTAAGTTAATATATAATTATATATACAGTACCTAATTTATATATAATTATATATACAGACGATACTAAACTCGATTTATCTGCCTAAACGTCCGTAGCGTGGCGCTACGGACGGCAAGAAAGTAGTTCGGCTGCCCGATGACGTTTTACGTATTATAATAGTTATTATTACCGTTCTTTACGGATACTGCCACAATTTTTATAGGAATCGTAACTATAGGAAACGGTTTTATAGGGGGATCTACTGTACTGTATATTATAAGAGGCACCACCGTATTTTGATATTATATTGGAAAAAATGAAAAACATACAAATATGAAACATATAAATAGTGGAGCACTGTTTATACAGGGTGGTCCAACGAAAACGAAACGGCAGAGTTATCGCGTTCATCCAAGCAAATCGCTCGGACAGGTCGATTTTATTCTCAAGGGAGACATCTTCATCAATTAAGTTTTTGCGATTCTGAATTCTGAATGTTTTTACGATTCTGAAAGTTTTTGTTACTTCATTTAAAATGAATGTTTGTTTAGTTAATAAAAAATGAATGAGTTTTAAAAATTTTTTGTTTTCTGTTGTATTCAGAATCGCAAAAACTTTATTGCTAAAGATGTTCTCGTTTCCGAGCGATTTGCTTGGACGAACGCGATATTTCTGCCGTTTCGTTTTCGTTGGAACACCCTGTATGTTGCATAACTATTTCTTGTTCACTTTACTGAAAAAAATTTATATAATTTTATTCAAAATGAGTTTATTTAATTAATGTTCATAATAATTCTTAATTAGCATACAGATTTATTATAAAATTAAATTTTTCAGGCAAAGAAAACCACCAAATACAGAAAAGGAGCTTGTGAAAACTGTGGTGCTTTAAATCATACAAAGAAAAACTGTTTTGAGGTATTAACTTTAATTATTGAATTATTAAATGAAACTAATGTATAATAATTATGCAATAACAATAACAATAGTCTTTTCACTAGTCATCACCTTGTCAAGATGAGTGTACGCGATAGTTCCAATAACCCATAATGATACCAGCAAGAGTGCATCACAGAAAAAAATAATCCATCACATTTAACGATGATTAGTTGTTATGGATTATTAATTGTCACATTCATTGATTGCATATGGCAATTGCCAGAGTTATATGCCATTGGCACCGTGTTGTCTCCAGTCATCACTGAGTAACTAGTATGATAATATCTAAATTAATAATTCTGGAAATGAAAGGTTGGATGGAGATCCAATTAGCGTAACTGGCATTGTAATCACATGGTACGTGGGAGTTGCAGGTTTGAATCCCAGTTTGGACCTATTTGTTTTTTTTAGAACCTTTTAAATTAATTATTAAATTTATCAAGATACAGTGTGTAATGCGTGCCTCTAGGCTAAATTTAATTATTGATAATAGCATTAATAAAATTTGATAAAATCCGACAATCATTTGTATTTATTCTGTATGATATACTGTTGTTTGTTCCTATCAACTACGATTTTAACATTGTAAGCAGACTCAGATATTAAGATTTTATTTGAAAAAATGTTGTACATTTTAGTGATTTTCTTTTTGAATTTTATTTTATTTTTGCATGCTTATTTTTTAAAATGTGTCTTGATTTTTTTTGGAAGCTTACTAATAATAAAATTGAGATGCATTCTCTCTTGTACATTATGATAAGTTATGTACTCATACATTTAATGCAGATAATTGCCTAAGTGATTTTTCTATTAAAAGAGCATTTCATTATTGTTTTTTGTGGATGAGTTTCTTTAACTGAAACATACCTGTTTTTTACAATTGTAACTTTTATTAAATCTGTTGTTAATAAAAATGTAATAATAATAAAGTCATTACACCATGTTTTATAGTAATTAATAATATAATTTAATAGCATGATTCATTTTTTTGATAGACTACTAAATTGTATATTTTAGTATGTAATGACTCAATACTCAGAAAAATAAATTTATACTTGCTTTGTTAACATCAATAGTAATTAAATAATTCCTTTGTTATAAATATGAATAAAGTAATAAAAATTTATTAAAATTTCTTATTGATTAGCTTTTAATATAAATCTTTGAATTTTCAATAATGTGGTTGTGTATATAAGTGTGTGTGTCTAATTTTTTATCTTCTATTTTAGCGGCCAAGACAAAGAGGTGCCAAATTCACAAATGAAGATATTGCCGAAGACGACGTTATTTTGCCAGATTTAAATGTGGACTACGATGGAAAAAGAGATCGATGGAACGGATATGACCCTGCAAATTATCAAGCCGTTGTGGAAGAATTTGCAAAAGTCGAAGAGGTAAATTTGTAGAAATATTATATCATTACAAGCTTAAAAAGCAGGGCTGTGGAGTCGTGTAAAAATCTTCTGACTCCAACTCTGACTGCTTTATCATTCGACTCCAACGAGGGGCAGACTTGTTACCAAAATAGACGTAGATATCCTGATGTCATCACATGATTTCAGAATAAAATATTCAATAAATAGAGTTCTAATAAAAATAGAACATAGGAACTTTTTTATTCTATAGCTAAAAGACTCTTCTAAGTAATGACACAGTCAATATATAAATATGTATTCGATAACACTTACTTTTCCAGCTGTTATATATAACAGAGGGAAAGGGAAGGTGTCGGTAAATGACCCCTCCCAAATTTATACATTTTTGGACTTGGGACACCTTGACGTAGAGATATGCAAAAAATTCAGTTTTTTTTTTTCTGTATGTATGGACTGTGTGTGTGAGGCACGATTTTGTTCACCCTGTTTGTAGCTTAATAACTTTTGTGGTATTTAAATTGGAGTTGGATGGTTTAACACGAGTTATTAAGCTTTCAAAGTGGTTGAATTAAATTGTGCTATCATACACATTCTAACAGCTGAGGTGAGAACATCTTAATGGGTTGTACTGTCTATTATAAAATGACAAATAACTTAATTTTAAGGGTAGAAACGAGTTTTATTTTAAAAAAGATTGTGAACACTAATAACAAGTAAAATATTTATTAATTTTGACCATACTAGAGATATGACACATGATTTTTTCTAGGTCTTTACCCTGTCGACCTTTAATTAAAAACCAAAATTTAGTAGCAACAATGCCTCTTTATACACAAGCTATACAAATTTAGTTTCTTAAATTTACCCATTCTGAAATATTGTTTAATATCTCAGAACAGAGAATAAAAAAATTAAACAAATTAGATGCCAACACGTGTTCAAATTTTTCCCCTTTGACATTTTTTTGGTTCAGGAAGTCTCTGAATATGTAGATTTGCAAAATTATTGGAGGGTCAAATTCGACACGATTTCAATACTTTTCCATTTTATATACATAACAAGTTGGAAAGTAAAAAGGAGTCGAAGTTCGCTGGATTTTGTGATGACTCTGACTAAAACACCAAAACTTGATGACTCCAGCTCTGACTCCAACTCCACAACCGTGTTAAAAAGTTAAAAGAAAAATCCAACATTAACTAAAAATGTGTAGTTTTATTACTTTGAATTTTTTGAAATTATTATATATTAAATATGGAAATCAATAATTGTTGCAAGAAATGATTGATGCATAAACTTTTTTAAAATTTAATTCATATGTCTATTGATATAGAAGTACATTTAAACAAAAATATATGTTAAATAGTAAGCAAAGATGATACAGTAAACTACATAAATTTGGAAATTCATAATTAATGTTTCTTAATTTTTTCTGAGAAAGACATATCTGTAGTAAAATCAATAAACTATGATGATTCAGAAATAATAATGATAAAAAAAAGCATCTATCATTGTAAAATTGCTGTATCACATGTAAAAATCTCTAAATTTTTAGTGGTGATAATTTGACAAATGTGAAGATTATAAAGAAAATAGTTAGATGGTATGAGACAAATTTTTCTACGGTACAACTAGTAGTCTGATTTCTCTCTAAGATAATTAAACATTTATAATTTTCATTTTTCTTAAAGTGATTGATTTTTGACAATTGTTCGGTCAAGATTTTAACACAGATTGATGAACTGAACAGCAATACATAATAATAAAACTGCAATTAAATGATATTTTGTAGAAAAATTTGTTCTTTGTACAGAATGCTTGCTTTAAATTTATGTAATTAAATTGAATAGCAAAAATAAAAGTGTTTGAATAAATATTTCTGAATTGATTGAGGATTACCATGTTTAAATTTGTGAAGTAATGAATTAAAACAGATTCAAAACAGATCCAACAGATATAAATTAGAATAATTTAATCTGATTATGCTAAAATTAGTCTGCCTGAAAGTATATCAGTCTGACTAGTAGAATTATAAGCTATGATTTATAATATTTATATAATATACAAAACTACCTATCATCCAATTAGTATGAATCATCCTTTTCTATTAGAAATCAGAAATTTTTACATTTGTTTGATGATAAGTTTAAAATGTAAGTGTGGAGAAAAAAGTTTAATTTTTAAAGTCAAAATAGTTTCAACTATAATCGATTTGAATTAAATTATTATATAATTTTCAATAAATTAAGTATTTTTGAAAAATTTGAGAAGTTTCTATATTGTCATTTATTGATTATTCATTTTAAAACAGGCTAAAAGGCAATTGAAAAAGAAAAAATTAAAGCAAGATCTTTTATCTGGTAAAGTTAGCACTATAAAAGAAACAGTAAGTAATATCAAGCAATTTTACTGTAGTTAATAATTTTTACAGAATGTACATATTTTATTCAACAGAATATGAAGTTCTTTTGGTATACTGATAATTTTTAATATCGAAATCAAATTTTATTAAAACTTTCTAAAATCTCATACATAAAATAAGATTTTTATACTTTAAAATGTATAATAATAGGCAGTAAGATTACTATCTTGTATTAAATTTTTTAATAACTGCATTAATTTTAAATTAAATAATTTATATACTATATAGTACAATTGCCAAATTGTATACCTTTAGTGCAAATTATTTATATTATAGTGATTAGTTAGGTTATAGTTTAAAAGTTAATCCAGCCGTATCCTTTTCTTTAATAATAATAAATTAATAATTAACCGGTCATAATTTAATTTGAAATAGAATAATGATGGTGAAGACGAAGAAAAATACGCTGACAATGCAGACATGCCGGGTACAAAAGTTGACAGTAAGCAACGAATTACTGTTCGTAATTTACGTATAAGAGAAGATATTGCAAAAGTAAGGTTAATTTAAATATAGAATACTGTATAGTTAACTGACACATGTAGAAAGATGAATTTGAAAAATTATTTTCAATTTTTAGTATTTGAGAAACTTAGATCCAAATTCTGCATACTATGATCCAAAAACAAGAGCCATGAGAGATAATCCATATCAAGAAAGAAAAAATTCAGAAGAGTAAGTACACTCAAATTATTTATATTTGATACTGTTCAAAATTATGAAATACAAAGTCTTGGAAATGCAAAAATCCTATATTTGACTTGATATTCAGAAATGTTGAAATTTTGATATGAAAATAAGTCATAAAGCAATTTTTTGACATGAAAAAATCTTAGAACAATTGTGAATAATGAATGGCAGATTTAACTAACCATAACCCAACATCCCAAAAAATGTTTAATTTGTTAATGAAAATTACTTCTGGGCCTCTTGAAAATTTGTTTTTAACAACAGTGTTGTTCATTTTATATTATGGAGTCAAATATCATAAAAGTCACTGTCAATAATGGTGTTAATAGAATGTCTATGTTGTCATTTTAACAAGTGAAGATTTGAAATTTCAGGATTTCAAAATGGATCTGTTCATTTGATACATGTTAAAAAATGCCAATTTTAAAAATTTTTATTGATAATGCATTTGTTCAAAAAAAACATTTTTATTATTATTCTTATTATTATTTTAATTTTATACATTTATAAAAATATATAAAATAAATTTATTTTATCTAATACTAAAGAATGCATGGAATAAAATTGAAACAATTTTATTGGCTAAATTTGACACAACCCATGTCAATATGCAAATTTTTGAATTAACTGCAGAAACTACATTTTATTTCGTTCAAGAAAATCTTAGTAGGTATTAAGTTCAAGTAACATGTTAAAAATTCCAGTTCTTGTTTCAGTGATTAAAATGAAATTATATGATTTTATAATTTTTATGTCAACAGGAACAAAATGCCATTGTCAAATATTTTAAAAACCAAAAACATTGATATAGATTAAAATTTTGGAAAGAAGGTCTGAAAGAATGAATAAAAAGATTGAAAGAAAGGTTTAGATGAAGTTTGCAAAGAAGCCAGACATTTCTATTTGCAGGCTGCTCTAGAACTGAAACTTACAAAATCAATGGTGTAATAAATAAAGTAAAAAGATTTCTGATTGACTGATTATAACAAAAAATCAGCATCAAAATACAAAAACAATCAAGCAATTTGGGCAAAACATAATTATTGTAAAATTTACAAACTATTGATTGCTTCCATCCAGTAGTAGATTAAAACTTACCATGGATGATGAGTCAAACTTTGTCTTGGATTCAGATCTTTGTGGGGCCATAAAGTACTTCATTACTGAATCACTGAATATTCCATATTCAGCTTTCTCCAATTCTGTTCCTGTCAGATCCAGAATTCAAGTGAAAGAAAAATTTCTGCGTAATATAATGAGGTGGCATAACATGGATAAAGACAGATAAATATCAAAATCAGCATTTATACAACAAAGTGTGAGTGGTTTGATTTATTTATATCGATGCATAAAGAAAATTATGATCTCACTTGTCAAGCATTATTATCAAATACACGATGTTTTATTATGGTTTGATTTGGCATAAATAAAATGACATTTTATTTAGGGAAACAAAATTAAGCACTTTGAATTGTCATTTCAGGTCTAAACCTTCTTCATCTCTTACAATTCTTTAGAAAACTGGTCCTGAGTAAAGTCACGGGGAAAAGTTTTTTAAAGAAGTTAAACTCAGGACCAGTTTTTTCAAAGAATTGTCGAGAGGAGGTTAAAACAAACTGCATACAAAAGCAACAATTCAAAGTGATTAATTTTGCCGTGTTCTTCTAAACACACATCCTGTATGATAAGTCCTACATTTGTCATGTGAGATTTAAGTACAACAAGAAGCTTTGAACACAATATAACTTTAGTTAACATCTGTATTAATTCACTTAAAATTCTTATGACATCATGTGATGTGTATGCCAGAGAAACCAAAACAAAGAGGCTATGTGTTGTGAATTACATTGTACTACTGCCTGCCAAAATCAAAACTGGCCAGTCTCAAAAATAGCCAATTTTTCAGTAATTTCAGATTTCTGGAAGTCGGATATTTGGTCCTGTACTATAAAATAAAATAAAAGTTGGCATCAGTTGCAATCGAGATAGAATGTTTACAGATCATTCATTTTTTTCTTCCATTAGTTATAAAAGAGAAAAATCAAATATTGTGTAGTATTTGATAATCGGAGTAAATTTGAGTAATAAACATATTACTGTTAATACTCTGAAGGTAAGTGTCTTGATGACAGTAAATGAACGTGCTTAAAAGTTACTACAAAAGACAAAATTCTGTTCTAAAATCTGCTTGTAAATATTCTAAAACAGTGTTCATAGACATCTGAAACAGATCAGTCATGATCTATTTTAGACACTAATGAAATAGGGTTTATTGATTTCTATCATCATGCAGAATTTGTTCAAATTTTAAAATTGAAAAATTTGTGGTTATTTTAACAATATTGTGAAAGTCTCTTCACTACTTGAAATACGCATAATAATGATAGGCTTTTTTCATTCATACAAACATAATATTGGCTGCTGATAAAAAGAGTAGTAACGAAAGCTTATGATGTAATAATTGGCTTAATTTAAAAATTGAGCATTTATTTTAAGTATTTAAGATAGTATATTTTAAAATGATTGGCTATCACTCTTGGTTAATGGGATGAAACATTATTGTAAGTGTCGAACGATTACATTCTACAAGATATTTTTAATATATAAATATTAATTTTTGAACAAATTATATTTTTTTAAAATTTAGTGTAAAAATGCAACATTTTAAATAAAACATGATATTAGTATTTAAAAATAATGTTTAATTTTTTTATTTTTAGGTTTCAGTATGCTGGAGATAATTTTGTTAAAGCTACCGGAGATACGGAAAAACATTCTCAAATGCAGAGTAAATTATTTCTCCCTATCTCTCTTTTAGTTTAAGTGAATTAAAGTTTAATTTCAAGCAAAAATAAGTCATATTCATTTCTATTTGTATAAAATACAGTCTGAATTGAAAAACAAAGACAGATTAATTACAGAATTAATTTCATAATTTTTGTTTATTTAATCAATGAGTTACATTTACAGTTTATTTAATAATACATGACTTATTCAAATATTTGTATTTTATAGGAAAACAAAATATGACATTGATAAGGACATACTTTGTTTTTCTTTTGCTTTAGGTACAGAATAACTACATTCAAAAATTATATTTCTTTACATCTTTTTGCAAAACACACACCCACTTTTTTTACACGCAAGAAAAATTGTTTCTTCTATCTGGATATGTGAATACAGTATTTACTGAAAAATAATATTTTGAGATCTGTATTCAGAAGTAGTGAGCAAAAACACGGTGTATTTATATATATTATTATTTGTAACAAATAAGCAATCTTTATGGTAACAACTAGAAACTGCAACAGTAGATATTTAGACACTACAAACAATCTATGTATGCAGCAAAACCTTTTAATTACTAACTTTTTTGGTTATTTTTAATGACCATCTTCAGGTAATATACAAAATTAAATGATGCATAAAATAAAATGCTTACAGAGGACTAATGTTTTATTTTGCACATTGATTTTGTAACTGTGTAACAAAGTGATAGTAATAGGGCATCTTTGCCAAATGCTGCTCAGTTCTATCCAATGCAGCGAATATCGTATTTGTTTTTGTCCGTTTTTCAGGTTCATAATGGAGCTTTTCTGGACTAAACCTCTCAAAGTACTCTGCAGCTTTTCAGGTGAACTGTGGGGTGGGGAAGAAAGCTGAAATACAATCCAAACTGAGGCCATCAATACAGTTTATTACCTACAGTTTTTGTATTAAAATGTAAAAACCAAACATATCATTATTTTAGACAGACCGTCATTTGTGTTTAGAGTAAACCTACTTTAATCTTCAGAACATTTGAGGATTTTGCAACTTCAATGATATTAAATAAAACTAATTTTAGTACAGAAAGTTTGCATGAAAATGTTTTTCATTTCAAAAAAACCATGAAAAACCTCGATTTCACTCATAATGCACTCCAACAAGTATGATAATTTGGGGTCAACTGTAAAAAAAATTATAGTTTCACTCCATAATTTTATGCTAATAACACACCTTATATCATTAAAAGGTTAGTTTTTCCATCTTAGCACACCTTGGGTATGTTATATGCTGGGCATGTTAAAGTGCATAGATTTTATTCTTTTCTTTTATTAAGTTGGATATCTTTTTTTTCTCATAGAGTACTGAGGTCCAGAATATGTTGTTAGTTTGTATTAATTAGTCTCATAGTAAGCTCATAACATTAAACTAGTCACTGTAATAGGGTTCATAAGGTTATGTATAATTATTATCTATATTTATTTTATTAGTGTGTGTGTGTGTGTGTGTGTGGGAGGATGTTAATTATCATAATTTTTTAAGTTATTTTTACATTGAACACACATATAGGAAAGACTAATTTGTTAGTAAATAACCAAATCTAACTTTTTAGTTTGTCCAAGGTTGCAGAATAAAGTAAGGCAACTGTAGCTAAATCATTGATAAAGTGAGGCATGTTAAATGTTAAAAATAAACTGTTTCAAGTTACATATAAAAGTTACAAAAATTTTTAAGCCATGAAGTTTAAAATTTAAAATATATAACATTATAAATTGTTTAAATATCACATGGAAAATACAAGTTTACCCCATCGCTCAGTATAACGGTTTGTAACAGCATGTTTGTTGTATAAATCTGTAATAAAATCCAGAAAATCATTCGTTAAATACATTAATTTTATTTAATTATCATAAAACAAAATTTTCAATTCTTGAAGAATGATTTTATAATCATTTATCAAGAATACAGAACAATAAAATAAAATGAATAAGACAGCAAATAAGGCATTTTTTTTTTCAGGCAACTACCAGTATTCTGCAATTTCTGAACTAGATATCATGACAAACATTAAAAAAATTTAAAACAATAATAATAAAATTTAATAAAAAGCAATTATTTTTAGATTTAATCAATTTATATTCTGTACAGTCAAATTAAAAAATCTTGTAGATATATAAATGTGTAGAGAACTATATAATTAATTATTAATGCTATTGGAAGGATCATTTAAATATTTAAATTATTTAAGATTAATACTTAATTTTAAAACATGTATTGACACAAGAATTTCTGACAAGATTTTAAAGTTTTTTTATTAATTACAAAAAAGCTATGAAGTTTAATTTATAAACATTTGTAATTTTTCTACTGTTTGCTTGGCAAGCATATGGGAAAAAAGTAGTCATTTTGTCTGAACCTACAAAAGCAGAAGTTTTATTTAATGAGTTCACCGTGAAAAAACAAAAACTTAAACGTGAAATGAAAGAAAATATTTTCGAAAAATATGGACGAGAACATTTTAAAGTCCCTCCAAAGGAACTTATTTTCTCACAAAAGGTAATTATCTTAATATTATTTTTGTATTACCACAAAATATATTTTAAGTCTATTGATGATATAAAAAATTATAATTTGCACTGACACAATAATGATAAGCACACAAAAATGTAGATATAATATTCGTTTGATGCAACATTGGCATTTTTCAAAGAACTACTAAGCTTTCCCTAAACTTCAAAAATAAAATGTTTGTATGTAATTCTTATAATATAAGCTGAGTAAATATGAAGAACCATTAAATTGGTCCAATAATTTGATTTTATTTAAAAGTGTTGAAAACGAGATTGTGTTATTAACCAATCACATGGCTTCTTTTCCATTTTTATTTACTTGATACAGTATCATTTACACGTTTCGGGCTTTTTTGCCCCTCATCAGTCAACTAAAATGAGAAAATAGTGTATACAGCATTTAAATATTATTTTTTACAAGTAATTTGTACAAACATTTTAAAATACATGTATATGACTTGCATGTACCAGTTTCTTTCGATATGGCACTTGTACACGGTAAGTTTGTATTTCACAAACCCGAAAAATGAGGTGATTATAGAGACATAGTAAAATTCTTGTACATCTATTTAAAATGATAAAGCGATATTAAAAATACATGAACTGTTTGGTATTAGCAAAATAAAAGTCTTACTATTATATATCTTTTTTCTTTTACCAGAGACGACGAATGTACATTATCCAAGTTCATTCAAGTACTTCAGTTGGCACACTTATGTTGCACAAATTTTATAAAATTCTTCTTTCAGTCAAATTTCTAGACAAATTTTTTCAAGTATAATCCTTTCTAATTTTGGTTTAGTTTTGACTTTCCACTATCAAGCGTTGTTTTGGATTGTTTGCAATGGTCGAAATTTACATAATTACGTAGAGTAGTTACAAAGGTTGAAACGAATTTAAGCCTTCTGGTGGTCTTTTAAATAAAAATATTTTAAAAAGGTTTTAATCATAATATATTTAACCAGTTTTTATTTATGTTTATGCTTAAGTCTTTATTTATCTTCAAAATGTGTATAGTTTCTTCGATATCACATTTGTAACTTCACTATGTACTCACCTGTATACTTATTTTGCTAACACTTGCTTAACCAACAATTCTTGATAATAATTTAACAAAATTATTCTTAATATTTGGTTGATTACACTATCATGTGACATATGATTTAATTGATCATTTTATTTTATTTGTCAAGTTGCAAATGCCATTTTTGACTGGAACCTGCTGACATAAATAACAATAAGCAAGGGCAGCTGTCAGTTTGTAAATGGAGGTTAATTTTGAGTTGAAAGGATAGGATTTTCGCCCTTCTAACAAAAATTTCCCAAAATAAAGAAAGAACTGAAACAAAATATAATGACCTCAAGAGGGTAAAATAATGTTTGAACTCGATTCCTCACACTACCTCAATTAAGAGACATGGACTTACTAGCAGTTGTGCTGGATCCAGGCAAAAAGTAACAAAAAAAACATTAAAATGAAAACCATATTAAGAATTTAGTAAGAATATATCTTGAATTATGTTCTTATGCAGGCAGAAGTAAACAACTATTGTTCGTTGAAAAGTATCAATTTCTTTCTATCTGACCAATGAAACTGTGCTGTTCTGTATCATCTGAGTATTGTTTTCTTAGCAATATGATATCTGATTGCATTTGTTTGTATTTTTGTTATAAGAATTTAAATAAGATCCATTTTTTACAACTACAAAATAGATTTTTTATGTTTATATTTGTTCTATTTGTTTATATATTTTTTTTCTTACTGTAATTAATTTATTTATTTACTACTATGTTATAAACAGGACAATGGTAGGCTAATGTTAACATCGTTGTAATAAGCATCTATTATATTCATAGTCAAATATCAAAAGGAAATCAAGTTTCATGAAAAATGGATCAAATATTTAAGCTCTGCACCCTCAAACTTTTAAAAACATACTCTGTGCTTGCCAGTAACTTTGTATAAGGTAATTTTTCTATTTGAGTGTTGCCATCTCACTGTTCATATAGAAAGAACTTGTGATTTGTGAATGGTGGTTAATTCAATCAAACCTTTGCCCTAAAAAGTTTTATTGCATTTGATGAAACAGTGTTAAAATGTATAGAGAACAAACTAACAAACTTTTTTTATATATATGTTAGATAACACTAATTATAAGATTAGTTTCTTGATATTGAATTTTATTTTTAAAAGTTGTTAATGATTATATGTATTGATGCTAGAAATGCTGTGTCTTAAGTTAAAAAAACAAACGAAATGGAAAAATTTACTGATGATTTGGTGAATTTCAATTGATGTTTTTTCATTTTCAATTTAAGCAATGTTGTTTTTTTTTGGTCATATATTCCTATTTCAATTTACAACAAAAAATATTTTTTAATAATAATAACTTATTTAGTTATGTGATTTGCTTTCTATTCTTATGTCGCAGTATGAATTCGATCACTAAGTTTTTGGCTCTACGAAGGACTTATCACACTATTGAAATTGTTAGAGTAATCACGCCAAAGTGGGTAGACAGGTTAATTATGATAATGGTATATGCATATTGGATATGTTGTTTATCTCTCTTTGGCTGTNTAAAAAAACAAACGAAATGAAAAAATTTACTGATGATTTGGTGAATTTCAATTGATGTTGTTTCATTTTCAGTTTAAGCAATGTTGTTTTTTTTTGTCATATATTCCTATTTCAATTTACAACAAAAAATATTTTTTAATAATAATAACTTATTTAGTTATGTGATTTGCTTTCTATCCTTATGTCGCAGTATGAATTCGATCACTAAGTTTTTGGCTCTACGAAGGACTTATCACACTATTGAAATTGTTAGAGTAATCACGCCAAAGTGGGTAGACAGGTTAATTATGATAATGGTATATGCATATTGGATATGTTGTTTATCTCTCTTTGGCTGTATTTGCTACAATTTGGCAGATTTATGGGCATCTACAAAAATACAAGTGGTTTTTGTTACAAACATTTTGGTTTATGATTAAAATAGTTTGAAATTACGATTATTTTATACATACGTAAAAGGTACATTTAATTTTGTTGGTAATGTGTGGATGACTTTATTTTTAGGATTTTTCACTAATGTTATGTTTTTACACAAATAGAAACCAGAGATTATAATTGTTGCTTAATGAAATTAACTGTGAAGTAAACAAACTATGAAAATGAAAGTAGTAGAAAGTTATAAACAAGATTACAGTTACAAAAGTAAGAGCAGTTTTAAGAAAGGTTACACAATTGGCTTGTACAAACAATGTTTTCTACTACAGCAGTGATGCTACTATAGGGTAATATCCTATTTTAGTAATATAAGTATTACCTGCTGTCTAATAGGTTTTAAATAAGAGGTGTCCAACCTTTTTGTTTCACTGGGCCACATTGGAAGATTACATGGAGTTTTGGGCCACAAGTATATTATATGTATTTGTGGCCAAATCTAGACATGTCTAATTCTTAAGTATACTTGTATATTTAAGAATTAACATGTCTGGATTCTAGTAATTAGTATTAAATCTTTATCACAAAATAGGATATTTTAAAAAATTACTTTTACAGACACTTTCAATTTTTACTTAGAAATAGACAAATTCATTTATTATAAAGGAAACAAACAAAAATTTATTTGAATAACACAAATATTTTGTTTTATTTGGGTCTCTAATTAATAAAAAATGACAAAACACCATTTTAAAGTGCATTTTTATTTGACTAATATGTTTATAAATAATATGTAGCCCAAAAATTAACCATTGCGTCAAATGTTATATTTTACGCCAAACTAAAAAAAGGGCAGCCAACTTTGGCGCAAAGTAGCCAAATCTTGCAATCCTGTGTTTTTGTTTATTCTTACATTATTATAGATTTTGATAATTTTTATATGTTTGTATAATTTATGTTTGGTAGTATTTTTTTTTGGTTTTAATATTTTTCACAAATCTATTAATATTGCAATTACAGAATACACAGTTTTAACAACAATGGAGTTTTCAAGGTTGTACGAAAGCTATTTTTTAATAAGGTCTGTTTTGAATGAGAGTGAGAATGATGCGCGATCTCAGCAGTGCGTATGTGTGTCTGCTACGAGTATGCTTTGTGCACGTTAAGACACAATTTGCAGTCGTATCGTCTGTCTGTGTGCTGAGCTGTATAAGTTTATAATGTTTAAAAGAATTGAGTCGCCTGCCAACTGTGAAATACGATCTTTTATTCGATTCTTGAGTGCTAGAAACTTGGCAGCAGCAGAAATTCACCATCAGATTTGTGAAGTTTACAGTGATAATGCTATGAGTGACAGTAAAGTTTAAAAGTAGGTGAGAATGTTCAAGGATAGGCAGGTTAATGTGCATGATAACCTATGCCCTGGCTGACCTTCTCGGATTTCTGAAGATATGGTTTGTGATGTAAATAACAAAATTTAAGGGAACCGACGATTCACGGTTTCAATGTTACCACTTGAATTTTTACAGGTTTCAAGATCAGTTTTGTATACCATTGTTTCAGAAAAACTGAATTATCGGAAATTGTGTACTCGGTGGGTTCCAAGACTGCTTTCTGACGATCACAAAAAAAGGAGATTGGGCAGTGCTTTATCGTTTTTTAACTCATACGATCAGGAAGAAGACAAATTGTTAAACCACATCGTTACAGGAAATGTATGTCTCACATGACTCCTGAGTCAAAGCAACAGTCAATGAAATGGAACACACATCTTCGTCAACCAAAGTGAAAGCCAAACAGTTCATTTCAGCACAGAAAATTATGGCAACCTTCTTTTGGTACAGGATAAAAATCTTGTTAGTGGATTTTATGCCGAGAGGCAGAACAATCAATTCTGATGGATATTGTGTAAACTTGAAAGTATTCCGGCATGCCATACTAAACAAGCAGTGTGGTCTACTGTCTACTTGTGTGGTGTTGCTCCGTGACAATGCAAGGCCACATGTTTCTTCACAAACACAAGGTCTAATCAGTTCTTCTGGACAAGAACAACTGTATCATCTACCTTACCGTCCAGACCTTGCACCCAGTGTTTTTCATTTGTTACAATACTTAAAGGAGTTTTTTGGTGTNTTGTATTTTTGTTATAAGAATTTAAATAAGATCCATTTTTTACAACTACAAAATAGATTTTTTATGTTTATATTTGTTCTATTTGTTTATATATTTTTTTTCTTACTGTAATTAATTTATTTATTTACTACTATGTTATAAACAGGACAATGGTAGGCTAATGTTAACATCGTTGTAATAAGCATCTATTATATTCATAGTCAAATATCAAAAGGAAATCAAGTTTCATGAAAAATGGATCAAATATTTAAGCTCTGCACCCTCAAACTTTTAAAAACATACTCTGTGCTTGCCAGTAACTTTGTATAAGGTAATTTTTCTATTTGAGTGTTGCCATCTCACTGGTTATATAGAAAGAACTTGTGATTTGTGAATGGTGGTTAATTCAATCAAACCTTTGCCCTAAAAAGTTTTATTGCATTTGATGAAACAGTGTTAAAATGTATAGAGAACAAACTAACAAACTTTTTTTTATATATATTAGATAACACTAATTATAAGATTAGTTTCTTGATAATGAATTTTATTTTAAAAAGTTGTTAATGATTTTATGTATTGATGCTAAAATGCTGTGTCTTTAGTTAAAAAAACAAACGAAATGAAAAAATTTACTGATGATTTGGTGAATTTCAATTGATGTTGTTTCATTTTCAGTTTAAGCAATGTTGTTTTTTTTTGTCATATATTCCTATTTCAATTTACAACAAAAAATATTTTTTAATAATAATAACTTATTTAGTTATGTGATTTGCTTTCTATTCTTATGTCGCAGTATGAATTCGATCACTAAGTTTTTGGCTCTACGAAGGACTTATCACACTATTGAAATTGTTAGAGTAATCACGCCAAAGTGGGTAGACAGGTTAATTATGATAATGGTATATGCATATTGGATATGTTGTTTATCTCTCTTTGGCTGTATTTGCTACAATTTGGCAGATTTATGGGCATCTACAAAAATACAAGTGGTTTTTGTTACAAACATTTTGGTTTATGATTAAAATAGTTTGAAATTACGATTATTTTATACATACGTAAAAGGTACATTTTATTTTGTTGGTAATGTGTGGATGACTTTATTTTTAGGATTTTTCACTAATGTTATGTTTTTACACAAATAGAAACCAGAGATTATAATTGTTGCTTAATGAAATTAACTGTGAAGTAAACAAACTATGAAAATGAAAGTAGTACAAAGTTATAAACAAGATTACAGTTACAAAAGTAAGAGCAGTTTTAAGAAAGGTTACACAAATTTTTGCAGCTAGTTGGCTTGTACAAACAATGTTTTCTACTACAGCAGTGATGCTACTATAGGGTAATATTCTATTTTAGTAATATAAGTATTACCTGCTGTCTAATAAGTTTTAAATAAGAGGTTTCCAACTTTTTTGTTTCACTGGGCCACATTGGAAGATTTCATGGAGTTTTGGGCCACAAGAATATTATATATACTTGTGGCCAAATCTAGACATGTCTAATCCTTAAGTATACTTGTATATTTAAAAATTAACATGTCTAGATTATAGTAATCAGTATTAAATCTTTATCACAAAATAGGATATTTTAATAAATTACTTTTACAGACACTTTCAATTTTTACTTAGAAATAGACAAATTCATTTATTATAAAGGAAACAAACAAAAATTTATTTGAAAAACACAAATATTTTGTTTTATTTGGGTCTCTAATTAAAATAAAATGACAAAACACCATTTTAAAGTGCATTTTTATTTGACTAATATGTTTATAAATAATATGTTGCCCAAAAATTAACCATTGCGCCAAACTAAAAAAAGGGCAGCCAACTTTGGCGCAAAGTAGCCAAATCTTGCAATCCTGTGTTTTTGTTTATTCTTACATTATTATGGATTTTGATAATTCTTATATGTTTGTATAATTTATGTTTGGTAGTATTTTTTTTGGTTTTAATATTTTTCACAAATCTATTAATATTGCAATTACAGAATACACAGTTTTAACAACAATGGAGTTTTCAAGGTTGTACGAGAGCTATTTTTTAATAAGGTCTGTTTTGAATGAGGGTGAGAATGATGCGCGATCTCAGCAGTGCGTATGTGTGTCTGCTACGAGTATGCTTTGTGCACGTTTAGACACAATTTGCAGTCGTATCGTCTGTCTGTGTGCTGAGCTGTAAAAGTTTGTAATGTTTAAAAGAATTGAGTCGCCTGCAAACTGTGAAATACGATCTGTTATTCGATTCTTGAGTGCTAGAAACTTGGCAGCAGCAGAAATTCACCATCAGATTTGTGAAGTTTACAGTGATAATGCTATGAGTGACAGTAAAGTTTAAAAGTAGGTGAGGATGTTCAAGGATAGGCAGGTTAATGTGCATGATAACCCATGCCCTGGCTGACCTTCTCGGATTTCTGAAGATATGGTTTGTGATGTAAATAACAAAATTCAAGAGAACCGACGATTCACGATTTCAATGTTACCACTTGAATTTTTACAGGTTTCAAAATCAGTTTTGTATACCATTGTTTCAGAAAAACTGAATTATCGGAAATTGTGTACTTGGTNGATCTTTTATTCGATTCTTGAGTGCTAGAAACTTGGCAGCAGCAGAAATTCACCATCAGATTTGTGAAGTTTACAGTGATAATGCTATGAGTGACAGTAAAGTTTAAAAGTAGGTGAGAATGTTCAAGGATAGGCAGGTTAATGTGCATGATAACCTATGCCCTGGCTGACCTTCTCGGATTTCTGAAGATATGGTTTGTGATGTAAATAACAAAATTCAAGAGAACCGACGATTCACGATTTCAATGTTACCACTTGAATTTTTACAGGTTTCAAAATCAGTTTTGTATACCATTGTTTCAGAAAAACTGAATTATCGGAAATTGTGTACTCGGTGGGTTCCAAGACTGCTTTCTGACGATCACAAAAAAAAAAGATTGGGCAGTGCTTTATCGTTTTTTAACTCATACGATCAGGAAGAAGACAAATTGTTAAACCACATCGTTACAGAAAATAAATGTCTCACATGACTCCTGAGTCAAAGCAACAGTCAATGAAATGGAACACACATCTTCGTCAACCAAAGTGAAAGCCAAACAGTTCATTTCAGCACAGAAAATTATGGCAACCTTCTTTTGGTACAGGATAAAAATCTTGTTAGTGGATTTTATGCCGAGAGGCAGAACAATCAATTCTGATGGATATTGTGTAAACTTGAAAGAATTCCGGCATGCCATACTAAACAAGCAGTGTGGTCTACTGTCTACTTGTGTGGTGTTGCTCCATGACAATGCAAGGCCACATGTTTCTGCACAAACACAAGGTCTAATCAGTTCTTCTGGACAAGAACAACTGTATCATCTACCTTACCGTCCAGACCTTGCACCCAGTGTTTTTCATTTGTTACAATACTTAAAAAAGTTTTTTGGTGTCCANGGTCTAATCAGTTCTTCTGGACAAGAACAACTGTATCATCTACCTTACCGTCCAGACCTTGCACCCAGTGTTTTTCATTTGTTACAATACTTAAAAAAGTTTTTTGGTGTCCAACGGTTCAACGATGAAGTGAAAACTGCAGTTGTGGATTCGGTTTTTTCACAGGTGGCAGATTTCTTTGAAGTCAGAATTCAAAAGATTGTTGAGCAGTATGACAAATGTTTGAACAAAAATAGAAATTATGTAGAAAAGTAGATAAAAGTATGTAGAATATGGGAAAAAATATATTTTAATGATATTTACAGTATTTTTCTTCTTATTAAAAAAACGGATTTTATTTAAAAAATAGCTTTCGTATTTTAAAGCATTGAAATGTTAAAGTTTATTTTTAATTTTTTTTTTGTTTATCAATGTAAGTGTAATTACGACTACATGAATACTTATAAACCACATTGTTTTTATCTGAAATGTTGTTGATAATAATATTGTTGCTTAATGTCTTCCGGATTGTGTTTCTGTTTGTTCAAATTTATTTAGTGTTACTGTGGCTATGCTTTTATTGGTATGTCAGCAGGAAAATACTTTGAGTATAAAGGAATCAACTATTAAAAATATATATGATTTACTGATGATTAATTTCTTATATAAAAACTGTACATAATTTACTAAATATTAATGTTTTTGATAAATATTTCAGGACGATTATGTAGAATATTCTCGGCATGGTGTGGTTTTGAAAGGAACTGAGAAACCAGTAGTTCGATCTAAATATGAAGAAGATGTTTTTATCAATAATCATACAGTAAGTAGGTCTGTTTTATATTTCAAATTACAGAAATA